GACTCTTATTTTAGCAATGTGATGTATACATCAGCAAAGCACAACAATATTTACGGGTAATTCATGTTTGTGCGATATGCGTCTCTAAACAGTGAGAGTTTAGTCTCAGTTGAAAGTGCGTGTTCAACAAGTAAATTGCATCAAATCAAGTATCGTGCTATCGTTATTTTTTCTCTATATTATTGTAGATATCAAACTATATTTTTTGCTCCAATTAAATCAACAAATTGTATCAATTGATTATATTAAATACAAACTTCCTTGAATTTGATTAAGTAATGTATTGCATTCAATTGCGTCAACTCTAAACAACATTTTTCGGCAATTCGTAACATAGTGTGATCCAAAAATAAAAAAGTCTTTTGAATCAAAATGGAATTGAAAGATTATAAAAAGCTAGAAAAACTTGGATCTGGTAATATTATGTCAAAATATGTTTTCTACCTATTTTATACTTTCATAACCTCTTAATTTGACAAGCAATTCATCGAACCTCCTATAAACTCAATCTTAACCATGTTTCAGGCAGCTATGGTATTGTGTATAAGGCGCGTGAAATATCAACCAATAACTTTGTCGCAATGAAAAAAATTAATTTAGATTTATTGGACAACGGTTTGCCTACCAACTACATACGGTATCATTATAGAAAGCATCTCCGATTGATACAAAAACTATACATGAAATTATTATTTGATTACAGTGAAATGTCCGTGTTGAAATCACTTAGACATGAAAATGTTGTAACTTGCTTTGGAATTATATGGGATGATGATAATCAGATCTACTTGATTTTCGAATATATGCAGATTGATTTGCATGCATACATAGATCAGTATGTTCCGGCCGGCCTGAAATTACGTGAAGTTCGCAATTATTTGTATCAAATATCAAAAGGATTGGAATTTTGTCATAAACGGGCAGGTAATTTTTTGTCGATAATACGAATACAACATTTAACAGAACATTTAGAATAAATTATAAAACAAATCTGAAGAAAACACTTTTTTATGATGGAGTATTTTTTTTAATCGATTTTGCCAGTAATTCACAGGGATCTTAAGGTATTTTGAATTTATAATAGTAATGGTAATGTTATGTCCTCAAGTTTTTTTCATTACACATCTCTTTATTTTCAATCTTAAGCCGGAAAATATATTAATCAACGAATATGGCGTGGTTAAGATTGCTGATTTTGGACTGAGCCGTCAGATAAGTGTACCAATACGAATTTATTCAACGTATGTCGTTACATTATGGTATAGGGCACCGGAATTATTACTTGGAAACAAACGCTACGGCTATCAGTATGGATATGGAATTGACATGTGGTCGATTGGGTGCATTTTTGCAGAAATGTTCACGGGGAGCGGCCTGTTTCAAGGAGATTCAGAAGTAGATCAAATACGTAAAATTTTTAGGTAAACATATGTCACTTCGAATGATGCTTTTATTTTTCATTCCGTTAGCATTTTTTTGCACAATTTTCAATTAACTTTAGTATTCTGGGAGCACCAAACGAAGATCAGTGGCCAGGCGTCACAGATTTACCAAATTATCCGGCTTCATTCAAAGAACCTATCACGGAAAAAGGTCTCGAAAAGAAAGTTTTACTTCGTGGTGCTGGATTGCAACTGCTCGAAATGCTGTTGATCTATGATCCTAATAAGCGAATTTCTGCTAAACAAATGTTGACGCATCAGTATTTTAGTGGCATGGACCCCAAAAAACTATATCCTCCACATCTTCAAGGAAATTATACAGACTAATGAATAGTTTAACGTTTAAAAATTGAATTTGAGCAGAGTGTTCTTTCATCTGCTTGGACACCGAAAAGATGCGGTAATTTAAATATGTCATACGGGTCAATATTGCATACACATCATCATACTGAGCTAACGTGCTAGATACAAAATGTATTATAAAATGAAATTATATAAGAAAAAATGTATTTTTTTACGAAAACATATTGATTGAACTAAATACAAATAATATTTTCAAATATCCTGTATTTGTTACTTAAAAAATAAGGAAAGAAATTAAATTGATATTCATGTAGCGCCCTACAACGGAAATTCTTGTAACTACTACAAGCCATTTTATCGCAATGCCATCATTGTTTGAAGCTGTCATTGCATTTGTTGTCGTTCACTTTGAATTTTTCGAGGCAAACTAACGGACGCGCTTTGTCAACGACACCTTTGCTATTCCGAATGTTGCAATTGATTTTTGTGTTTCATTTCATCGAATTGGTTTAGTATTTTTATGTGCAAATAATATTAAATCTTTTTTATATAATTAAAGCATAGATACGTATTGAGCTAACGACAATAGGACTTTTTCATATTTAAAGTATAAGTAATTTAAAGACAATACCAGTGAGGTTATACTGATCGTGTCACACAATATATCGTGGTAATTTTAAGATAAATCATTTGATTATCCATCGTTAAAAGAATAGAACAATTGCGCAACAATGGAAGATTTCATGAAAATTGAAAAGATCGGAGAAGGTAATATAACATCGTAATGCGATGTTCATTTTCTACCAAATATTTTGTACGAAATTCCATGAAAACAACTCACCTGTTGTTCTATTGTTAATACATTTAGGCACTTATGGTGTTGTGTACAAAGGAAAGAATCGACAAACTGGTCAAATTGTGGCAATGAAAAAAATTCGCTTAGAAGCAGACGATGAAGGCATTCCGTCAACTGCAATTCGGTTTGTATTTGATTTACATATGTACATTTTCTGTACATTTGTGGCTTTTGATCAAAGGAGCATTGTTTTAATTGTCATAATACTTTTTTATAGTGAAATTTCATTGCTAAAAGAGCTCAAGCATCCGAATATTGTGAAATTAGAAGATGTTTTGATGGAGGAAAGTCGCTTATACTTGATATTCGAATTTTTGTCAATGGATTTGAAGAAGTACATGGATACATTGCCACAGGACAAACTAATGAAGCCAGAATTAGTTCGAAGTTATTTGTATCAAATATCGGCTGCAATGCTCTTTTGCCATCAACGTCGAGTTTTGCATCGAGATCTGAAGCCACAAAACTTGCTCATTAATCGTGATGGTGTTATTAAGGTATGCTAAAAACAATCACATATTTATGATTATACATTGACATTTAATCAATGAAATAGATTGCTGACTTTGGTTTGGGTCGTGCATTTGGTATTCCAGTTCGTGTGTATACGCATGAAATTGTCACACTGTGGTATCGGGCTCCAGAAATTTTGCTAGGCTCACAACGTTATTCCTGTCATGTGGATATTTGGTCAATTGGTTGCATATTTGCAGAAATGGCCACAAGAAAACCATTGTTCCAAGGCGATTCGGAAATCGATCAGCTATTCCGCATGTTCAGGTAAAGCATTTATTGAAAATCAAATATAACTATTAATATCGATAAAACCTCTTTAAAATGCAATTATATTAAATTTTAGAATTTTGAAGACGCCCACTGAAGACATCTGGCCAGGAGTTACAAGTTTGCCTGATTATAAGGAAAGTTTTCCATGCTGGACGCATAAACAATTACGTGAGCAAGTCAAAGTGATTGATAGTGCCGGATATGACTTGTTGGATCAAATGCTCACGTACAATCCGGTCCATCGTATATCAGCTAAACGAATTCTGGAGCATAAGTACTTTGAAGGATTTGATAAACAATTGGTTTCAACCATGTAAAATCTCCTCATTCACTCGTCTATTCACACTATATTCACTGGGAACATTATCTCTATATTTAAAATGCTGAACAAAATATTCATCACTCTATTCCATTAAAAAGGAAACGTTGTCAGAACATTTAAAAGCAGTTTTGGTACGTTTAATTTATAAAGCGATAAGCAAAGAAACAACAACACACAATTTTTATATAGCAGAGAAAACATATTCTTAGAAACTAAAATTAATTGAGGTATCCAGCAAAGTGTAGGTAAGCATACAAACGTTAGTGTTTCTCATACTTATAAAGAAAAAAATGGTAGATATCAATCGGAAGAGCAGAAAATTCGAACTATGAAAAGTACTTTCACAGTACAAAATTATTTCGATTAAATAATACGCATTATAAAATTGATTTCATTGTATTTTTTGCTTATTGAAACATATTAATTTCCAGTGTTGATTGAAAAACAAAACAAATCGGAGAAAAAAAGGTAAAATGGACACATTGTAAATTAATCTGAATACAGTACATTGAGTGTGAATATACGCTAAGACTTAAGATCAATATAACCGATTATATGGGTATCGTGAAATAAACATTCTATGAATTGGTTTCGTTATTTGTTAAACTATGTTCCAATATTTTACTCGCGCATTTCAACATACAGTGCCAATTCGGCATTTTATAAACACATACACGACGACATTGTTTTAAGAAACTTCGTATACGATTCACACAGGATAAAACACTCGATGTTTTTGGTAGTAGCAGATTTTGTCGTCAGATAACACCGAAAAAAATCACACATTTATATTTTGTTGACAAGTGTATTTGTGTTGGTTTTATGCTCGCACACATGTTGATTGTTGATTTTTTTTGTTTGTAGCCTGAATGCAATATGACATTCTACGAATCAGTTTTGTAATATGCATTCGTTTGGAGCGTGTTTTTTTACTTTCGAACACATATACAATAATCTTGTGAAGAAAAAGAAAAAGTGTATGCTTTGTGATATCTCAATCTAATTCAGTTTTGTCAGAACTTCAGAACTATCCAAGGAAATATATGTTGGCAAAATTTAAAAAGTATAAAGGAATTTACATCTGTAAGTCGAAATTTTCCACATTGTTTCTAAATGTCTTTCTTCACCGAACTAATATTTATTTCTCGAAAGATATTGTACATGCACGAGTAGTGCAGTACTATTTCAATAACTATCGAATTCTAATTTCTGAGAGCAATGAAGATTTTTTTGAATGGAAGCATTGCCTGTATGATATTGTAATGACATGACACTTTATTATTAAACTTAGTTATCTATGCGTTGCCGATGATGATGTGTAAATCACATCGAAATGTATTCAATACAATTTTGACATGATGTTTAATATCGAATAAAAAATTCATTTGTTTTATCAGAATAAATCAGTTTTTGTTTTAAGTTAGATTTCATGTAGAATACGACTTCTGCAATCAATAAGGAACACTTTCAAAAAACTAATTGATGAAACTTTGTACAGACTATTTTCTTTCAAAAAATAACATTCCAAAAGTTTGAGACAATTTTAATAGACAAGCTGAGACGAGCTGATTGGTTTTTTGAGCAATATCTGTTGACCGGTGTAATTTTTGGTCCGAACCCACATTATTCATCGACACTGTTACACATCGCCAAGAAGTTCTATGGCAACGACAATTCGAATTGGCTTCTATTAGAAGACAACGATCCAAAACACAAAAGTCGTCTCTGCACCGCTTAGAAAGAGGAAAATGACATAAAACAAATAGAGTGGCCGCCACAGTCACCCGATTGCAATCCGATCGAAAATGTTTGGACTATTATTAAGGCAAGGCTTCGTGGTAAAACACACCGCAATTTGAAGCAGCTCAGTTCATTCATTCACCGCAAGTGGAAAGGTTATACTCAAAAATATGTATCGGAGGGTTTTTTGGTACGAGAAAACCGAATATGATATAATTTTTGCAATACAAATAACTTTCGACACACTTTTCATACAAAAATTTCAAGCCATGCCTGTATGATATCGTAATGAGCTGAAACTTTGTGCAGGTTATTTTTATCATACAAAAATACCATTTTGAGAGTTTGAAGAAATTTTAATGCATATTAGAGGGTACCTCCCGAATTTTTTTTTTTTATTTTTCACTCAAAAACGAAAATTTTGTATGGAAGGTACCCTTCCTTTATCTGGAAAAGTGTGTCGAAAATTATTTGTATCGTAAAACTAATGTCAGATTCAGTTTTCTGGTGATTCTAAATTTAAATAAAAGATATGTAATAAATACATATTTCGAATCACAGTGCGGAAAAGTTCATCTTACGGATGTATAAATGAAAGTCATTATTATTATATTTATAATATATTCATTTATTTTTGTGGTTGTATGAATGAGAGAAAGAGTGTACCTAATTAATATTTAATTTCTAAGTGTAAATTATTACTTTTCCGCACACACCGAGTGTGTAAGGGGAAAGTATTTTTTGTTACAAATGCGTGTGTGCCTAGGAATTGGGCTTTTACCCTTGATTCTTGGGTTTTTGGGATTTGTTTTTGTTCGCGCGGCTCACATTACAGTTGTCAACTTCAGATAGTTATAGATAGATTTTTTCGATAAATAAATAATGATTCTGCACAAATTCTTATTTGCCTACTAATGATGCATTTAATTTAACCTTATTCAAACCACTTTCGGATTATAAAAATCTCTGATTTTTGCAATTTTCTACCCTTATCTGTGACATATTTGGACTTTTAATGCCTCACGTCATGTTAACAATGCATTTCACAATTCATTTGTTTTCTAATAAAAATTTGTTTCCTTAAGAAGACTTAAGTTAAGAAGTCACATTCAATATTTTAACCTCTTAAGAAAAACCACAGAGACGGGACTAGTTATTCCTATCTACTTCAAAAACAAATTTTGTATGAAGTCATGAGCCAACTAGTCAAATCGGTTTTCACTATTGAATTTCTTGGCCCCGAATTAAGTGGGAAAGACTAGTATCGTCTCTGTTGCTTTTTTCAACTAGGACAGTGTTCTCAAAACTATTTGCCAGGGAAAAGTTACCAAATAAATTGAAATGTTAACAACTGCATTTTGATGTGATAAATTTTTCTGATTAATAATTGTGGTATATCAATCTGTTTGAAAATATCTACCGTCAGCTTAAGTTAAAACATCAAACAGTGGATTTCTCATTCAATTATCTTTTCATCCAAAATGTTTTGTTGTTTTGTATGAAATTTACTGCTCGATTATTTTACTTTTACTGACTTCGTTGCAATAGATTTGGAAAAAGATTAGAATTTGCAAAGAAGTAATACGATATCATATATATTTTATCCAAAAGGTGACTATTTTATCCAAAAGGTGACTATTTTAATTGAGTTCACTCGAAAAATAAAGAAATCTGTTTACCTTCTAGAGAACAGTTATTCAGCTTAATTGTATTTACTAGCATATCAAATACTTTTTTTGATCATTAAGAAAATTTCGTAAATTTATTCTCTTGAAAAATGGAGCCGTAAAGGTTTCAACTATAGAAATTCTACATGTGTCTCAACTTTTATCGAAAGAAAATAAATCATAATCGATTTTTCGAATAAACATGCTGTAACGAATGAATAGCACAGAAGGAAATTTTGAAAATGATTTTGATATGGACCAAAGCAATTTTCACTCTTTGTCTCATTCGTACAGGATAGGTTCAAGTGAAAGCATATGGATGAGTAAGGTTTTAAGTTTTGTTTATGTTTTCTATTTTGATGGAAAATGCTATAATTGCAAATTCGCTGAATTTATATACCTAATACTATGGACTTTCATTCAGTTTATTTGGATTTTATCATCATTTCAAGTAGGATAATATTTTATTGTAATTATTTTATTTTTTGCATTTATTTCTTTAAATCTTTCCAAAATATCATTATTGTATTCAATATGTACTTTTTTATTATACAATATTAATTTCGACTACAAAACGGAAAAGAACATACAACAAAACGTTCTGTTTTCTTTTGTTACTCAACTTTTTTTTTTTTTTTTTTTTTTTTTTTTTTTTTGCTCGAAACTTCTTATCAATCAAATGTTCACTTAATAATTCATTATTTGAGTTTTATGTTGGTAAATGTTATTGTATTTTTTAATTTCTTTCTTTTTCTCTCTATTTTATTTAAATACATTATTGATAACACATTCAATTGTCAGTGTTATTGTTCATTATTATTCAATATCGCTAAATATATTTTGAAATTAAATTTACTTGTTTTTCACCATTGGCTTCTCTTTAGTTGGGGAATTGATGTAATGTATAGTCGTTTTCAATAAGATCTGTTACAGCGAACTGTCAAAATTTTGAACAAACAACATACCCTCATTAAAATTCAAACCAAATTGACACGTTTAACTAAGGAGACTTGTGTACTTTTGAATGGAAATGCGTTCCGAAATGTATTAGTTTGACAACACAGATCTTTTTGGAAACGACTATAATTAAATCACTAAATTGTTGTTGCTGTTATATTTTGGTTGGACACACATAATCATTAAATCAGCTATTATTTTTTTCCTCATTAGATGTATAGATCATTGCGTATGTTATTTTGAAATTTTATGGCTGGTATTATTGATGCCGATGATGCCTATTGTGAGAATGTGTAAACAGAAATATGTATTTCGTCAAATGAAGTAAACAGAAGGCGAAAAGAAAAAACAATTGAAAAACTATATAGAATGGAGATTGTATGCAATATTATATGCATTGATTTTGTTTTGAACAGTATAAAAAATAAATACAAAGATGTTACAGACATAATGAAAATACGATAAAAATAAAAAAAACTCAACAAAAAACTTTTTCCCTATCGAAATTAAAATAATAGTCTACACTTTCTCACAATTCAGTTTTTCAGCTCTTGCTTTTCATATTTATTTATTTTTCACTTTATTTACAATATACAAAAAATGTATTAAAAGTCCTAAGCATGTATAGGTTCTGTTTAATAATAATCATTTTAACATGTCTAAGTTTATTGTTTATCCAAATTTTAAGTATTTTTTTGTTTGTTTTAACTCTGGTTTACATGTTGGGTAATAATCATTATCATGATTTGTTCAAAGATAATGCATTAATATAGAATATAAATTATTATTTATGTAGCTTACAATACATTCCTCAAAAACACTCTATTTCACATATTATTACTGTGAATATTTTATCGATTTGCATGAAAAGCCTTCGAATAAATTGACAGTAATAGATAGTGATGAGACCACCAAATAGCTGTTTTTCACTGTCATTTGGGAAGCTATTGCTCTATCGTGCATTTCCGTCCACTCCTTCCGGTCTCGCTTCCGCTCGCGCTTCATATTCCATTACTTCTTGATAGATTAACTCTTTCCATTGTTCGACAGTGTGCTCACGTTCATCCACGCTATGATCATAGGGACCTGGTGCTGGCTGCAATAATCACAAACAAATTAAATGAGTTATAGCCCATAAATTTATATGAAATGGTTATACTTACCGCATTTACTTCGCTCTCTTCGTACCATACATTTATGTAACTATGCACTAGCGCTTGATCGACTGAAATCCGGTGCTCTGGATCAATAACTAACATACGACTAAGCAAGTCCCGTGCTTGTGATGCTCGCAATCGATTGTGCTCATTTGAATCACTTGGAAATAGAACGTCAGGAAACAAACGATCAAAACTGTAGCCCGCGTATCGGGGACGATTTTCAACGTAATTACGCACAGTAGGTTGAAGTCTTTGCATGAATTGTGCTGACGGTGTACCCAATTGTTCTGTTATCAAAATATTCGAAGAAAAATATATCGAAAAATATAATAATCTCTTTTTCTCTCGAATTATATTTTTGTTTTGTTTTGAATGCGACAACATATGATATGTAAAATTAATTCATTCACTGGATTTTCAAGAGAAAATGGAAATTGTTTTGTAAAAAAATTACAGCGTGAAAAACTAATTAAAATGAAAACATAACATTGCATTCAGCTCTCACACATATAACAAGGTTGAGCATTAAATAAGATAGATGCTTTCATCGCTTAAATATCACCATTTTGGTAAAAATGATAATTGTTGGGCCGCATAAATTCATTAATAAAAACATTCGTATGCCAAACTAACCAATAATTTTGTTCCACTGGTCAATGTGATCTGTGCCTGGGAAAAGAACACCGCCACGAATCATTTCTCCCATTATACAACCAACGGACCAAATATCGACGTTTTCGGTGTAGACCATTCCTAGAATTACTTCAGGTGCCCGATAATATCGCGTCACAACGTATGGCGTCATCATAAATGTTGTGCCAGCTGTACGAGCTAGACCAAAGTCTAATATCTTTAGTGTGCAATCCGATTTGACGACAATATTGGATGGCTTTAAGTCCTGGTTTTATGAAAGCATATTCAATAAGACAATCAAACATAAAAAAATATGCTTTGTAAATACTTACCCTATGTATAATACCTGCGGAATGCAAGTGTTTTATTCCGCATAACATTTGGTAGAGTAAATATGACATGCGCTCGTGATCCAGATCCATCTGAATGACCTGACACAAATTAGCGTCCATGAGTTCCATGACAAGATACACATCTTGGAATTCTTCTAATGTGCGTTGAGGTGTGAATGCATTCAAGAGTCCAATGATCTAAAATACAAAAAATTGAATCAATCCCAATGTAAATAGAAAAATTAGTGATGTTTCTTCATGTATATTATTGTTCTGTGCACATAGACACATAAAATTTAGACTCTGAAGAGGCACTTATGAGAAAAATGCCTTGAAATGATATTCTTTCAATTTTAACGCTGAAAGAATGTATAGTGGGGAATTTTTTGGCACGAGAAACCCGAATCTGATATTAGTTTTAAGATGCAATCAATTTTTCACAGACTTTTCATACAAAAATCCTCAAAAAATTTCATTTTTCTATGAAAGACATGCCTTTTTTGTGGTACCGTAATGATGTGAAACTTTGAACAGGCTATTTTTTTGATTGAAATTTCTTTAAACTTGATGTGATTATTTATTTTGATAAGAAAATAATATTCACAAGTTTTCACGGTAATTTAAGTTACTGCAACCATACATAGACCATAATTTCAGTTTATTCCCAAAATTTCGGTTCCATGCGGAAAAGTTAGCTTGTGTACGTAAGCCTCTTTATTTATATTATTTTTATGTACTTTTTAAACTTTTTAAATGGATTTTTGTTATTGTGAATATGCGAGCGCCATTTGTTAGATGCAACACAACATATTTGGGATAGATTAGTTTGATCGTTGGCAAATCGTAAGGGAATAGAATTTCTAATGCGCAATAAACAACATAAGAACTGTGACATACAGAAATGATGCTACGAGGGCTGCTCCATATATTTCTAGAATTGGCAATATTTAGTGTTGTCCGATACAAACCATTGTCATATTCGTTAAGTTTAACATTTGGTAGCATAAACGATCTCAGAACGTTCTGTCATACGCGCGCTATTTGTGTTGTTTACAGTGACATCTAAATTGCGTCACAACAAAAAAATGAATTTTACTCGTGAAAATTTTCGTGCGATAATTTACTACGACTTTGGATTGGGTGTATCTCAACAACAGTGTTTTGATCAACTTCATTTGGTCTTTGGCGATGAAGCTCCATGCAAGGTCACTGTATATCACTGGTTTACTGAATTCAATCGTGGTCGTCATTCGCTCATCGACGAATTCCGTGAAGGTCGTCCAAAATCGGTTGTTGTTCCAGAAACTATCGATGCCGTCAGAAACATGATAAAACAAGATCGTCATGTCACATACCGTGAGTTTGAGGCATCCCTGGGCATTAGTATGAGAAGCATACACACGATTTTGCATGAACATTTGGCCGTAAAAAAGATTTGCTCTCGTTGGATTCCACATAAATTGACCGATGATCAAAAATTAGCTCGTGTGAATTGGTGCAAAGAAATGCTCAACAAATAAAACCGCGGTGCATCATATTCCGTCCATAACATCGTCACAGGCAAAGCACGACGATAATGACAGCTCGGCAACGCTCTATTAGAGATTAGTACCGCTGGCAACCGCAGAACTATATAGAATCATATGGAGTCATTTGGTGGCGCTGGCAAGCAATTTTGCCTTATCGTCATGCTTTGGTCACAGGCGACGAATCGTGGATATATGCGTATGAGCCCGAAACTAAACAGCAGTCGACAGTATGGGTCTTCCAAAGTGAAGATAATCCAACGAAAGTTGTTCGCGCTCGAAGTGTTGCGAAGCAAATGGTCGCCTGTTTTTTCGCAATTAGTGGACATGTGGCAACAGTTCCACTAGAGTATCGTAGAACAGTCAATTCTGACTGGTACACCACCATTTGTTTGCCAGAAGTGTGAATTAAGAAAAAATAACCACCGTCGCAGAATAATTCTTCATCATGATAATGCGAGCTCTCACACATCTCATCACACAACTGAATATTTGACCGCTCAAAAGATCGAATTAATGGGTCATCCACCGTACAGTCCTGATTTAGCACTCAACCATTTCTTTTTGTTCCCGAGCGTAAAGAAAAAACTGCGTGGTCAACGATTTTCGACGCCAGAAGAAGCAGTTGATGCGTTCAAAAACCACGTTTTGAAGGTGTCTCACGCGGAATGGAATAAATGCTATGACGATTGGTTCAAGCGCATGAAAAAGTGTATCGACCATCATGGCGAATACTTTGAAAAACAATAAAGCCATTTTTGATAAAAAACGATTGTGTTGTATATGCTTTTCTAGAAATATATGGAGCAGCCTACGTATTTAATTTTAAGACGCAATATCCATTCTATACTCATCGGTGGAAGGCAAATACTCTTTTTATATTCAATTTCACTGAGGAATAACTGAACCAATTTTTTTTATAAAATAAAATAAAGAGTCTCACAGGAGTAAGACGAACTTTTCCGCATGGTGGTAGATGCGTATTCTATTAAGCTAGTTCAAAATAATATTTGTTCGATTTTTCGAGCCTTTCAAGCGGCGTTCAAACCTTGGCATCGAAATATTCTTTAATTTAATAGCAGAAGTACTCGGAAAACACACTTGATGATGAACCCATTTGTACGTTATTTGAAAGAATTCTATTTTCTATAAAACACTATAAAAAAATATATCTGACGTTAATTTTGCCATAAACATTATTTTTAAAACACTTTTCATACAAAAGTAAAACAAAATGGATTT